GCGATGGCGTATTGCAGTACGTACAGCCTGGCAGTCAGGATGCGGACGATCGAGCGGCGCGTGCATGATGATCGATTTACTGCGCAAAAAAATAAGGCACGTGTTGCTGCGCCCAACTAAAATTCTGAGACGAGCCATTTGCACCCAACCTCGCCCAGTTAGACGCATCCGGCGCCCAAACATGCCCGTCGGACGCCCGTATAGTACGCAAACGGTGCCCAAACGGAAGAAGCCAGTTCAGGTCTCTATACGTATACCCGGATGTTGGCTGAGCGAGAATGCAAAGAAACGGCTCAAAAAATGGTGTATGGGCTGTGTGGCTCAGCACATTGTCGTGAAAGCGAACGGACTTATTCGCTGAGTGCAGACACCAAGTCGTTCATGCTAGGCCTAGCTCATTTGCACCACATCTGCGTTTAAGAATGGAGATTGCATTGCCCCACACGACTTGCAATACAGCACGTAAATGTTATGAACTTATGTATTAAGAGATTATGAATGGAGCTCATAAGCTAATCCTAGCCGGCTACCTTAAGTTTCCATGCACATACGGAGATAGCGATAACGAAGGCACTGCAGTGTCTTCTTATCCACATGTCCGAGTGGCTCGGCACCACAGAAAATCTCGAATGCTAGAAGTACGTAGACGCCGCAGTTATAGCTATCGACTTGGACTCCTAAACCCGACTCGTAAGTGCCGACACGTACGCTCGGCTGTGCTCTCTCTGGCAGCAGCGTTATCAGCGTCTGCGCCACGGCGCGAACGCTACACAAGTAGGAAGACGAACTGGAATCGTACACTAGCACTTTGCCCTTGTTGAGATCCATCATCACGGAACACCAGTGGTTTCCGTTGCAGTTCATGGGAAAGAGAATCGTCTCCTTCGAAAGCCCAGACAGTGCGTTGCGAATTACTTCCTTATCCGTCTCAATTTTTCCGTTCACGACAGCTCCGAGAGTTGCAGCATTGAATACGACTACGTTCGGGTCACCGCCAAATTTCTTCGACAAAACCAGATGCAATGTGTCTTCAGTAAGGCATTCTTTGGCAGCCAAATCCAGCAGTTGATTCTAATCATTTAATACGATACTATTAGTTGCGTTAATCAATTTGCAGTACAAATATCACGTACCCGGGAAGAAAAAATTGGTATGTTCTTCAATTTTTCAGGTAGATTTGGGTCGGCAGTTGCATTAAACGAAGCATTGTTTGCTAGGCGCGAGAAATCTAACTGATTTATCCACATCAGTGTCCTTTCAACCTTTTTCAAGATTTCACGAGCGGTATGCCATCGTTTCATGAGGGCCACCGTTGAGTTCGCAAATACTCCAATTCCAACAATCTCGAAAGCAATGTCCAATTCTTGGACACGCGGATGTTTCCTCTGGTATGCTGTGACCTTCGCCATACACTTCTTAATCAACTCCATAGGAAAAATCCTGCAAATTTCATCTGGTCTTATCAAAGGTTTGGTTGCAGGTAACTTTGAAATCTCGTGAGCAATCGGGGGCTTCACCTTCGATAAAAACCTGAAGAGCTTAAACTGGAGCAGCCTCACGTGAGAAGAAGTGAAGGTTGGCGCATCCTCAAGTATTTCATACACTGACACAAGGTTGAGTTGGTTTTCGTGCATGTCCAGGTCCTCTTGGACCATTGTAATAGCGAGGTTCCTTTTTGCTTTGACTGCTTTTGGCTTTTGTTTCGGTCGTCCTCTGGCTTTGGGTGGGCTAACAATCTCGAACAAATCGCTGGAATTGCCTAAGTCGACAGATCTTGCCTGTTCGTCATTAGGAGTCGTATTTGTGCCCAACAGTGTCGTACTAGCGCCCAAATCATTCTCAGAGCCCAACTGGGTATTTTCCGAGCCCATCTGGGTAGAATCCGTTTCCAACCCGACCGACGTGGTGCCCAACTCAGCCGGATCGGTGCCCAACTCAGCCGGATCGGTGCCCAACTGGACACCCAACTGCGTAGTTTGTACGCTAGAGGACAGAGGGCTAGCCGCACCGTGTGTTTCGGTCGGACCTTGATCAACGTAGGCTCCACCTTCTACTTGCAACTCGTTGAGGACCTCTCCGTCAGATAATCCGTCAGATAATCCACTCGAATTTGAAGTACGCGAGTGATCTTGTTGTTGCGATGCAATTGAGTTATAATCACCGTGCTTGAAGCGAGATGCAACATGGCGAAGAGCTTTCATTGCCGCCTTGTACTCTCGCATGCCCAGGCCACTCAAGTGCTCGCTAATTGTCGATGCAACCAAATTTGCTTCCCGATATTTACGGTTTGAATCCCACACGACATTTGACTCCTGCAGGATCGGAGACACCCCCAAAAGCCTCACCAGCCAGCTGCGGCAGCTCCGTTTCCGTGCGTAACGACGCCAGCAACCATCGCGGGTTTAGTACATGAGTAGGGATGATATTCTCGCATCGGAGAGTCTTCCGAAGGAAGAACACATGGCGGCATGGCAGTAGCCGCGAACTCATGAATAAACACGAGCACGACCAGTCTCGTTTCGTTACCGAATGCTCCATATTTGGCTCATCAAGTGCGTCCTCTTCGTCACATGTGTGCTGGATCAAAAACAAATCGGGCACAGGCTCGCGGATCTTGTACTTGGCTCTTGTAGTTGCATACACGTACTGCTCGTAAATGAGCTCGCACGCATGCTCACTCACTAATCTAGATAGGAACTGCATCTCTGCATCATACTTCGGGTTATGCACCATGCTCAACTTGTACAGTCCATCCATAAACTTTCTCTCCTCCTGAGCCTGGTAGCACATAATCGAAGCAATACACTCGTCCACCCCCATAAACGAATCCACGAGATCCTTCAACTGTTTCCAAGAGGCCTCAATCCGGTTGTTCGTGTTGTTTCCCATTGTAACAGCATTTTGTCGCTCGAACGCGCACCACATTGGCCGACACGAGTCCCAATTTTTGGTGAAATAGGTCTCGAATAGATGTTTAGGCGCGTCGTTGGCCCCATTTTCTTCGCCCACTTCTTCGTCGCTATTTGCAGCCCCACTAACCTGCATACCCTCTTCATGCGCTCCAGCACCCATCCCGGCACAGATACTTCCCATATTGTTCCCATTAGTACCCAACTCGGCACCCAACTCACGATTTCCAGCACCCAGCTCACGATTTCCAGCACCCAGCTCACCCGAGCGAGAAATCAATCCAGAACCACACAACGCACCGCCGCTACCAATGCTGATAATGTGTCCCATGAACTTGCGATACTTTGTGAATTCGCGCTCAGTCTTCGCGTACACCAAACAGTTCATAATTGCATGCAACTGCTGCTTCTGCCAGGGCAAAAATCCATAATCCGAGCTTGAAATCTCCTCGCGCAGATATTTCAGGACGTGGAATTGACAAAGTAGCACGGTAGTGTCTGGAAACGCCATTTTGAGAACTGAAATCTCCGTAAAATCTTTGTCAATCAAAATGCACTTCATCCGTGTCCAAGCCGTGTTGTTTCGCTTGAATTCCTCAAGTGCCGTCAAAAGAGTAGGAAGACGCTCGTTTTGTACAATAGCATGTTGCACAAACTGCCCCTTGCCAAAAGCGTCGTGAGCCATTATCGAAAAAACCTTGTACTTCGACACGTTAGTACCGTGTGTGGCATCGATCATCACAACCTCCGGGAATCGCTCGAATATCTCACGCATATGCTTGGTCTGCAGCGTAATACATGTAGCCAATGTCTAATGAAATAAAATGTTAGAACTGTCCAGGTTTGACATTAATAAGAGCTAATCATACCTTATTGTGCACGGAATCGACAAAGATACGGCCAACATTACCAGGTTCCTCCGAAAATTCAAACATCCACTGCTTGAGACGCTTGGCACTGGTGTTGGCTGTGTTCTCTTGCGTCTTGAGCTTTCTTACTAGGTTGTGCACATCCTGATTCGATGGATTGAATTCCGAGTTATCGTGTATGTACTTGAGAATGCGCTTTTTCTTGGCCCCGGCTTTACGAAGCTCGTTCACAGTGCTCAACACGTCTGGCTCCAACGCAGTACGAACGTGCGGGTATTGGTAAAATGTGCGCTTGTTGAGGGGGTGGTTGTGTACTAGCCGTGCCGAAGTAACCCTCAAAACAAACGTAGGGATAGATTTGTCTTGCACTTGAACACACGCATTGATCTGCGACAGTATCACATACAACCAGAGCCCAGTTAGTCCCAACTCAACCAAACGGACACCAAATAAATCTTAGGGGGCCCAACTGAACCCAACCAGGCACAGATCGCCGTACCTGAGCTCCACATTCGATGGCTCTGGACTGCTGGCGCTTCCTCTTGCCTTTTCCACGTGGCTTGTACCTCCCGGAGTGCGTACAGATGAATGTCTTGCCGTAGTTCTCCCACTCAACGGGCAGCAAGGGCCTCTTAGAGCCAGTGGAGCGGATCTTGTTATTTCTGGCGGCCACTGTATTGTTCGTGCGCACCCGGAAGCTCTGTAGACCATGTACCAACACCAGCGTTATTATTATAGCATGCTTTAATAGTACAGAATGCATACCTGGTACGTTTGCTTCATGTACTCGCTCAGGTAGCTCTCCAGGTCCTCCCAAGACTCGAACTCAGACCGTTGAAGAGGAGGCGCGAACACCTCGATCTCCCCCTCGTCCCGCCCCTCGTCCTGAACGCTCCGAGGATGGGTGAGGCCTTCTGATCGGCCCTGCTTGGACTGACTGCTTGTGTTGCTCGCAGTCTCGGTCGCTGAATCCACCCATTCCTCCTCGCTTGACACGGGAGGCGGAGACAGCAAGTAGTCAGAGTCGTCAGCAGTGTCACGGGCGGGCACATCCGGAGGCATCTCCACAGCCTTCACGCGCAGATTGCGCCGCGCATTTCCTGTCGTCGCGGTAGAGCGGTGGTCGCGGTCCATTCCCCCCTCCCTCGTCTCGTTCTTTCCAAATGTGTGGTGAGGACGGGTATACATGCACAACATACACTATACAGCGGACGGATAGAAAGGTGCGGGTAGGTTTCAACATGACAAAAAGTTCGCCTAATCGTAGTTGGGCGCAGCACTCACTCTCTTTTTTTTAACGTGATCTTCGTCTTTTCGTGTGAGAAAAGCTGTGTTAAAAACGCTTTGGCTTTCGAAAAAAAAATTAGAATTATTTACTTTTTTGTTTAATCTGGACAAACATGGCGCTGGTTGCGGCTGCAGCCACGGGCGACATGCGCCTCGTTCGCCGCACACTCTCTAGTGACTGCGACCTAAATGCACTAAACAGCGAAGGGGACTCGGCTCTGATGGTTGCAGCGAAGAGGAACCACGTGGAAGTGATGACGCTGTTGTTGGTTAGTGGCGTCGACGTGGACTTGAGACGCTCCGACGGCTCCACGGCGCTGCACTTGGCGATTGCCAGTCAGCACGCTCGCGCTGCTAAACTATTGCTAGACTTTGACGCTGACGCAGCCGTCGCTACGAATGCCGGCGTCACACCGCTACTATTGGCCGCGGAAAATGGTCTCTCGAAATTGATCAAACTGCTGGTCAAAGTAGCGCCGCAGTCTGTGCGTACTGCGTCGAAGGACGGCTCCAATGTGCTTTCTTTTGCAGCTCAAGCGGGTCAAGTTGAAACTGTTAAGATGTTTCTAGACGCAGGGGTGCCGGTGGATCTGAGTAATGGAGTAGGGCGAACTCCTCTAATGTATGCAGCTGGGAAAGACCGAGTGGACGTGTTGAAGCTATTGCTAGCAAAGGGAGCGGTGCCAAACTAGACGGCAAAAGATGGTAACACTGCGCTGACTATGGCAGCCGAAGCTGGCCATGTAGAGGCAGTTCGTTTTCTTCTAAGTCACGGTGCCAGAACGAACAGAAGTGCGTGTCCCGAGGTGACGGCGTTGGCTGCAGCGGCGCAGAATGGGCACGTGGAGGTGATTAAGTTGCTGCTACAGAACCATGCTGAGATCGATGCGCATGACGATGATTGGGACTCTGCATTGCACGAAGCTGTCTATGGTGGGCAGTTGGAGGCAGCCCGTGCACTGGTCGAAGCGGGTGCTAATGTGAATAAAAAAAATCAAAGTGGTTGGACATCGATGATGGCGGCAGCACATCGGAATTTCGGGGATATTGTCGAGTTACTGATATGGAAAGGAGCTGCTCTTAACATGAAGACGAATGACGGGCGTACTGCGCTGCATATTGCATCAGAAGAGGGTCATACAGAGGTGATTCGCTTGTTACTCAGTCGCGGCTCCTTGGTGGACGCAGTAGATCGGTTAGGACGTACACCGTTGATGATGGCGGCGTACCGTGGTCATAAGGACACAGTGCAGCTTTTGCTGGATAATGGGGCTAGCTTGGTGCGAACGGACAAGATGGACCAAACACCGCTTGAAGTTGCCTTATCGAACAGTAAGATCGATGTCGCAACATTGCTAGTTTACAACGAGCCTCAATTTCGCAGACGAAGAGAGTCGTCATCTGCGTCAGCAGAACGTCAAACGAAAAGGCGGCGTGCTGCTAATGTAAGTCCGTAGATATAGGAACGAATGAAAGTACTATGGTTGATATTTTACCAAATCACTGTTTGAATTTACCTGTAATCATCGTCAGAAACGAAAGTTGGACAACTAACTTCTTCGCATTAATAAAGTAGTAGTATTTTATCACTATTTAGCAAGTTCTTCAGTTGTGCGTCCTCCAAAACTCTGAGCAATTCGTGTTGACAAATGAGCCAATCTTCTACAAACTAGGAGGCTGGTACCACAATAACCAGAAATCACGTTCACCAGTGATGATTCGGGTGCATACCCATCGTATACGTGGCAACGTTTTTTTACTTGGTATGATAGATTGGTCCTTCTCTCTCCAAGCTTTTTTTGTGTTTCAATAGCTCTGCGGTGGATATTGTCCTCATTACGTAATTCGTAAGGCACAATCAAGTTGCCTTACGAAATACTCCCAGTAAAAATATTCGAACAGATTATCTAGTGCCCGGTTTCTATTTTCAGGGTTAACTTGGTAGTTCAAGGGCTAACCCTAGAATTGCCAACATGTTATCTTAATTTACTTACCGTGCGTAAGAACGTATCCGCCGCACCGAGTAGAATACTTCGAAGTACCAAGGATGTCCAGGTTTATCAGCAGCTGTGCAGTCGAACAAGTCTCGCTGGTCGCCAGGAGGTGGTTTTCCTTACCATCATCTTCATAGCATGCTTCGGGTGACCAGCACGAACAAGTACTGCCAAACTCATTTAGGGCTGAAAATAAAAGCCCGTTGTGTTTGTAGTGCGAAGCTTGGTGGTCAATCTCAAAGGGAAAATAAACGAGCTCTTTGTATTGATGAGAATAAGTCGGATCGATGTAAGGACAACAACCTTGTAGGTTAGTATTTGTGAGTATATTTATTGGTGTTTCTGATTTTCAATTGTGGGAAAGATGTCGACATGACGGGCAGCATCAGCGCGCAACTGTCCGGAGAACATGCTACGCTATGGCATAGCACCAATATGGCTGACATGTGAAGATTGAGCCGTCGCGAATATCTCACCAACCCAATAGTTCCGACATGCAGCTGATTAGTTCGGTCTTAGTACTGTAACAGCCGCGTCGTGTAGCAAACGATAGAGTGTCACCGCTATGCTGCCAGGCTGTTGAATAAGGATTGGCTGCAATGACCCATTTGGTTTGGTCAACTGCATAAAATATATTTGTTACTTTAACACGAGTTTCTTAGCTATTAAATGTACCGGTCGTCTGCCTCGTTTTCTCTGCGACGGATGTGACAGAGGGCATTAATGCTGGATGAGGACATGTAACGAACACGTAGGGCACATGTGTAGCAGCAAGCTGTCTTTCCTCGCCTTGATTCAAATCGGTCGGGCTGCCAACTAAAATCTATCGACGTGTGTAACATAGCTATCCTGGAATTGACTCGGCCGTATATCTTCGCATTTTTTGAAATAGTGGCAAGCTTGTGGAGTTTCTTCCGTCAAAGACAGAATCCGGTCCCACACACAAAGCCTTGGACTTATCCTTCCCAACGGTTCTGTACGAAAGTGACCCCACGGTGTGGCGAAAGCCACGCGGGACTCCGCCCAAGTCTTGAAGCCGTGAAAAAAAGTCTCTCAACTGGATCTGGAGGTGGCTTTCGCAACTTGCCGCGCCGCTTACTGTTTGCGGCAGCACATACTGTGTTGCACAGTACAGCAAATTTGCATTGCAAATTGCACGCCAGCGCTGGAAACCTTGAAGGAGCCACCAAGGATGTAGCTGGTGGACGATAAGCAAGCCAAGTTTCCAAGTTGCTAAAGGCTCTGCGGCTACTGAGCCCCTATCTTGCACTTGGCGTCACCGAAAAGCGGATGGTGCACATACCCCCGCACCGCCTCTCTCGAAGCCGTGATCTTTGTAAGACAGAAAGGAAATTACTCGTCGTTTCTCCTCCATGATCCTGCCATTATGCAGTGGCTTTTGTTTCATAAGTATTTGTATAACGACTCGTTCACTTGATGCGATCGAGCTAAACGTCCGATGCTGCTGAGCAGCATCCGTTCTTCGAAATTCTTAAAAGGACAAAGCTCGTGGTACAGTCGAGTTTCGTCGTCCGATTGCAATTGGGACAGCATACAAAAACCAAGTGTTCCGGGCAGAAAGGGAGTGCGAGACAGTTGCAGCATCCGTAAAACTGTATTGAAATGATCGCAGCGCCTTAACGGCTGATCTCTTCAATTGACTATGTGTGCCCGATCATTTAGCTGCCGTCATTTACGAGTCTGAAGCGGGCTCGGCGTTGCGCCAACAGCTCTCCCGCTCCACACAACCGCAGATCGACCGTGCGAGCACGGCACGGCCCAACGACGGACCACGCGCACTGATTTTCAGTGCGACGGACGCTCGTTGGCGCACCACAATCGAATCCCCCGTGGGTTGAGAGCGCTCCTCCCTTTTTGAAGGGCTCATTACGGATAGCCATCGTCTAGAATGAGTGCAGGGGTCATCATCGGTATTATCGCGGGCGTGCTCGTGGTGCTGGGCGTCGCCGGCTTCTTCGTCTACCGCTACATGAACTCCCAGGCCCAGACGGACGAGAAGCAGTTCATGCAGGACTACCCGACGTCCAAGGTCACGACTTCAGAGCCCAATCAAATGTCCGATACCGTCGCACAGAACACCCCAACCGAGTACGACTTCACCACGCTGGACGCGCCGTCCACCAAGGCCACACCCGACCCGTTGGCGTCGTCGATCGCCATGCTCCACGCTGTGCCCGGCGGCTCGCCTAGTCCGTCGCAGGAACCGACCCGGTACAATTTCGACCCAGCGCAGTCCACGGTTAACGGCGCCGCGCCATCCACGTCACCCTTTAACAAGAAGGAATCGGTGCAGGCGTCGCGTCCTAGTAACAGCAACTTCGAAGCCCACTCGATGGAGTTCAACGCTGCACCCGGTAGCTACGCAGAGTCGTACAATGAATCCTACGCCGGTTCGTTTGCAGGTTCTATGGCCGGGTCGTACGCTAACTCGTTCTCAGGAACGTACAATGGTCAGGGAGTGCTCAACTCGTTCGATGGAAGCGTCGACGACTTTGGGCGCGATACCGTGGGCACGACTGTTTCGGAGGCGCTGGATCGACAGAGCGAAGTGCCTGGAGGAGACCACGAACAGTCCCACTGGATGGACGATATGCGGGGCACCAACGACAGCTACGCTATGCTCGAGTCAGGATCATTTGACCGCACGTCGGCGCTCTCGCGTTTCTCCACGGACTCAGACCTCACAGGCCGCCCCACGCAGTCATAAGCCAGCGAGAGAAGGAAGAGAGGGATGTGTATCTATAGTAACTGGTTAGGAGTGTCGAGCACTCAAATGGTGAGCAGTGAAACAAAGTTTTGAATGCTGAGTGAATATCAAGTGCAACACTGCGATACCATTTTTTCTTAGAGTTTTTTTTTCTGTAAAGGGGTGAAATAGCGTTAGTGATCATGTAAAGCTATGTATTCTTGTGTTAGAGATTACTCACGTCTGTAACCGGACTCTATTTGCTGCTGATTGCTTATCGGCGAGCTGGGCCTCCACGCTTCGGGAGCGGGAAGTGGAGTGGCACGGAGAGCACAGCACGTTGAATCTGCTTCTTGGAAGCCAGCGACGCCGCACCGCCGTACACGGCAGTGTCCGCCTTCGCCTTTTCGACAATACAGCCAAGTTGGCGGGCATATGCCTGAATGTGGATAGAGGACTTCTTGAGATCGTTGCCAACCTCTGTAAGATCCAAAGTGAAGCCATTCACGGTGAGTGCGACCACGATAAGGTGCAGACTGAGTTTGTCCTTCATGGCCTTGGACTGGAAGTATGTCGGGTAGCCGTTGCCCTCGCTAATGTCCGTAAAGAGCTTCAGGAAGTGACGCACAATCACAAGCGGAATGCCCTTCTCCTCACTGAACACGGCAGCAGATTTACGCAGAGGAAAGCGCGAGTTGTAGAAGTCGATCATATATGCCAGGTACACGACGAGGCACATTTTGTTCACGTCGTACGGCGCAGGTAGGGACAGCATCAGTCGCGTAGGCAGCGACGCCAAGTTCAAGCTGGCGGCATACTCGGCCACACCCGTGGTCTGCAGTGCCTGAATAACCTCCTCAGCCATGATGGTTAACGAGTCCATTACAGCGTGATCCATAACTGTAGAGCCATAACATCATATATCAGTTAATGTTGACAACATATAAAGTATGGCAGACCAGAAACTTACACTTCGTAAGGTCGTAGACGCGGTCGGGTGTAGGAGCGTCGACGTCGCATGGCGGCAGGAGAGCGTTGCGGGTGGCAGCGAGAGCTGCGCCCTCCTTGCTGTAGCTTCCGTCCTGTGCACGTTCCTCCTCGAGCTTGCGTTTCGCAGCCGAGATCTTCTTTTGCAGGGTTTGAGATACCGAAGCAGCACCGCTGATGTTTTCGAGGTCGACGATGTTCTCTTCGCGGTTCTTCTGCATACGTTTGCTCTTCTTGCTACCGAAGACTTCAACGAGATCGCGTCGCTGGTCCATGAAGTTCTTATCCTCTCCACGGTTGTCGTCCACATTCTCAGACGCGTTCTTAATGGCCTGCTGCATGACGTAGATCTGGTTTACATTGCACAGTCGGACCTCCTTGGTCTTCCTGTCGTACACGCCCACCGCGTAATTGGCGAAGTCATGGCTGGATCCCAAGTAGCCAAAATTGGCGCCTTGATACGCCACCTTCTCGGAGCTGGCAATGACCAAACGCTGCTTCTTCGCTGGGTTCTCAAACACCTCAAAGGCCAAGTCCTTGCGCTGGTTTGGAGGCGGCGGGCCATTGCGGAAAGTCGCTGTAGTAATGGTTTAATAAAACAATAAGGTGAGGCAACGGCCTGCAATGGAGATAGCAGTAACAATACGCACCGACGACGGGGGCCGTGCTATCGAAAGCTTCCTGGTGCTGGAGGTACACCTTGACGCGCTTGCTCATGCTGTTCTTGGTGCAATTGCTGGTGTGCGCGCGACGCCGTCTCGATTGGCTGGAACTCCGTCCGATCCATCAGCGTTATTATTGGTCAAAAACAAATATCACTAATCTTTTCTACTGGTTAAAAATAATTATCAGATTCAACCAATCCAGTTGTGAGGGAGCCACAATCAGATTACAATTAGGATGAGTGCGGATGCCAGCGGGGATGGCGGCATGACGTCGTGTCTGAACCTCATGCGCCGCATGCCGCCACGTGAGGTGGAGACGGACGTGTACAACCTCACGCGTCTTGTCCCCTCTATTGCAGACGATCTGTACCAGCGCGTGGATCAGCCTCTCCAAGTGGCTGTGGACCCCGCCAACGGCCGCAAGTATCTACTCTGCGACTACAACCGCGACGGCGACTCGTATCGCTCCCCGTGGACCAATCAATACGACCCTCCAGCAGCCGATGGAGAAGGTTTCTACCCGTCCGAGACGCTGCGTGAGCTAGAGATACAGGCCAACGAGATCTTTGACTCGTACCGTGAACTGTATTACCAGGGCGGCATCTCGTCCGTCTATATGTGGGACTTGGAACCGGGTTTCGCTGCCTGCTTCCTCGTCAAGAAGGACGTTGTAGACCAGCGATTCGTGGAGAAAGGAGGGTGGAACTCTATCCACGTGATTGAGGTGCAGGAGGGCAGCGACGTGCTGGACAAGGGCGTCAAGAAGGCCACGTACCGCCTTACGACGTCCGTGCTATTGTCCATGAAGGTCAATCGCCCCGAACTGGGCGATTTGACGCTGGACGGAACGCTCACGAGGCAGGCGGAGCGCACTATGGAGTTTGAAGATCAATTTGCTCATGTGTCCAATATGGGACGCATGGTTGAGGACATGGAGATCGACATGCGCTCTAGTCTGGATGGACTATACATCTCCAAGACTCGCGAAGTGATTAATGGCATGCGTAAACTGCAACAAGGACCGGCCATGGCGAACCCGTTTGTCGGTGAACTAAACAGCGCTGTGCTCAAGCACGGTCAGAAGAAGCAGCAGGAGTAAAGAAAACACTTTTTTCAATGGAACTTTGGCAATAAAGCCACTTCACTACCCCGACTTGCACTCCTGACACGTACCTCCTGCAAATTTGCCTCTTCAGGGTGACCTAACAAACGGTGGACATGTCGATTGTCGTGACAGGCACGTCACGACCTTGGCATTTTGTTCTTCATCCAGCGCTGGACCGCCGCTCGTTGAGCACTCAGTGGACGAATAGTCTGAAACCTCCCCCGAACCGCATCCATAGTATCAAATAGGCTGAAATCCATAGACGCGAAATCAACATGTAGGTCTGTCGCAGTAGAAGAACCAAACAACCGGTGAGCATCAAGAGTTCCGATGGGATTCCTATCGTATGTAGTCACCGGCCTGCGAGGTATTTCAAATTGGCCATTTACAATAGAATCCAAACGATACTTGGAAGCGCTGAGGTCATCGCTAAGATGAACACTGAGAGCGTATTGCACTCCAGGATATGTCGCCACACGTTCGCCTTGCTCTATCTGGCACCGTCCCCAAAACCAGAGGTCGTTGAACCCAGTTCCAGTAGCATCCATGATACGTGAACGGATGTCATCAACAAGTGAGTCATGCAACGACTAACAACTTTGACGCTAATAATCCTCCCACGACTCGCATCATCGTAGACGGCGACAACGTTGAGAATTCCGATGCTACATTGCGCCTCCAGTCTGCCACAGTCGCCTCACGAGGGACCCCGTCGCCACCATTGGAAGGCTGCAACGAGTTCTTGACTTCATCCCAGTCCAGACGCCGGATAGCAGCATCGATCCTTTACACCACCATATTTCCCATTGTAGTTTTCTTCAGCAACTCGGTGGTCCCAACACTTCACATGTCAAGGTACTTGTGCAAGGAAAATGTAGCCATCTGTAGTTTATGGCTACATTATCCCGACCATCACTCTTGACATTGACCAGCAACATGCCGCATTTGGAGGAGTTCTTCACGCATGGGGACGGCGCGGGCTTTTGCTTGGGCTCCAGCGCCCCGGAAGACGCGAAGCCAAGTCGACGCGAGGGTGGTGGTCTAATGGACAACGGTGTGCTGTACTTACACGGGCCCAAGGACGCGGGTCAGACGTCACTGCTGCTGCAGTTCGGCTTCACGCAAGTCAAGGCCGGCAAGAACGTAGTGCTCGTCATGTGCGGCGACGCAGGCGCGTCCCAGCAACCAGCGGCGTCGGAGATCGTACCGCTCACTGCATGCTCCAAGTGCAATCTCCCCGCACAGACAGGAGAGAACAACGGCATCTGGAGCCGCATCCACATCAAGTACGTCCAACTGCGTTATTATTTATAAAATAATATTGCTTACTAAAAGAATAAATTATTTAATTTAAATGGGTAGATATCTTCGCAGCTACGCAGAGCTGCAGTATTTCCTGTGCTCACTGCACGTGGTGGACAAGGAAACGTCGGTACTGCTGATTGAAGGCTTCGAGAGATTCTTCACAGGCCAAAGGTGACAGAAAATGTGGATTGTTTGTGGTAAGGATTAATTACTCATGTATTGTAAATGCTGCTGTGGTACTTGCAGTCACATGAGCAATGTGTACCAGACTCTGGCCTTTTTGCTGGAAGCACAAACTTACATGAAGGCAACTACCGGCTCTGGCATTGGAGTTGTTACGGGAAACACGGATGCATTCCTGCTTAGAAATCGACCAATACTGCGTCGATGGTGCAGATTCTTGGAGATCGTACCGCATGTCGAAGAGCCTGATGTGTTAACTCTTCGTGAAGAGGTGGAAGACGACGCTGACTTGAGTGAAGACACGCCCAGAATCCAAGTAAAGTACGAGTTTGCACAGCCAAGTGATGAAACCAGTGGCAAGTTCCAATTGTTACATGTACAAACACGTCCAAGGAAATGACGGAAACGCTGTACGTTTGGTTCCCTCTCTTCTTGTCTTTTTGTTGGTTTAAATATGTGGAGTCTGGTACGACTAACTATCCTGGTGGTTTCTACGTTATTTGTCATTCCTCACTCGTTGTTATTATTTTTTTCTACCTATTACGAGCGTGGGTTAATCACTCAGCTGCTCGACTCTCTGCTGGAGATGTATCTCCTGTTCTAGGGGCAGTTGATACTGCCTTCACAGGTGAGTCAACTATCCCGTTGCTTTCGTTGCTGTCTGCTGCCTTCGCTGGAGACGTGGTCGGTGTACTTGAAGCAGACGAGTTATCCTGGCGATTCTTTATCCATCCACCTACTCGCACAGTCTTAAGCTGTTCCACAAAAAGTGTTAGTCGGATGACTGTCTCACTGATCAAGAGGATCGTCACGTACATCAGTAATTAGCTTCTTGACGCGGTCTGGGAGCTGACAGTTTTCTTGAATTCGAACTAGAACTGCAAAGTATTCATCCATCGTTCGTCGTGAAGCTGGACTTGATCCATCGAGTAAATCACCGACCAAGTTCAGAAGTCCACAAGCTGCTTCGATGATCTCCGCTTGAGGCTTCACCTCGTCATCCAGCATCATCGCCACGCAGACGTGCATGATGTTCTCGGTCAACAATTGTCGTCGGAAGAGCTCGCCCACGAAGCCTACATTCTGCAACATACACTTCCTTCGCCACGAGTGTTGCGCCGCTCCATTGCTTCCGTTCTTCTTCAAATTCAAGGACTGACTATCCGGCTCTTCAATCAGCGATTCGTAGCACTTTGTAAGCAGAATCCGCCGGAAGTTGATCGTCTTCGCACCATCTTTAAACTCTGGCGTTCGCTCCGACATACCCGAACACAGCTTCGCATACGAGTCGCTGTAAGGTACGCGATAAGACAGCAATTAGTCGTCTAAAACTCACCATTTTCTGCACTAATGTTGCAGATTTTACCTCAAATCCGGGTTTGCTATTGCATGGTCGAAGAGCAAGCCTATAATCTCTTGCAGTGTGTGTGTGCAGCTGATCGTGATCCCCATAAACGACTCGAGGATGGAGCTCACCGTCTCCGGCTTGACGTCATCCAGCAATCTACAACGCAGCAGTGTCAACATCCACATATGCTTCCCAACCATTGTATACAAAACGCACGTGGCGATACGGCGCTTGGCGATAATCGCTTCCTCGACTGGGTTAACCGGTTCGACGACAGGCACTTTGGTCTTGTCCGAGCCATTGGTAGACTCCTCAGGAGGACCCGTGTACAGACCCATGTTCATGGCAGCCGCATACTCCGTCGGGTTAAAGTAGCACACCAAGGACGCATCATACGACATGACGTTCCCGCGCTGTTGGCGAGTCTTGTCCTTCTTGCCTTTCTTCCCCTTATTCTCCCCCATTACAGCGTCCGCACCAATCGTATCCGCCCATGTGAAATCCTCCGGCATCATCTCGTACAGCGGCTGAAACTAAAGCGATAAAACCCAATCGTTAGGTTGTAACCATCGCAAAAAAAGTGTTAAATCATTAGCATTAACCTGCAAAAGCTCCGCCACGGTATACACCAGTCTGCCTTTCACCTTGTTGCCAATTTTCTGCCAGCATAATCACATAATTAATAAATAACCCTTAAAAATATTATTTAACCCTTACTTTCGGCGGCGTAGGATTCTTCACGACGTCAGAGAAGCCCTTGATCACACGATCTCCCAGTGGTTTAAACTACAGTATCACAAAAAGCTCTCATCAGTCTAAATATGCCCCAGTATCCTCCTTATCTCTCCATTTACCGCCAGCAAATATTCCTTCGAGTAGATAAATCGGTCGTGTAGCGGCGAGTATCCCTCCTGTAATGCAACGCATCCACCCAGTAGCTCGTCAGCCTTCGCTGTACTTGTCCAATATCTAATAATTCTCCTCTCGTACGTAAGAAATGGGTTCTCCGTTCTCATCAAGGGCCACATCGTGTCCAAACTCTGCCGCACGCTCTAACGCTGTTTTGCTACTGGTTGAAACGGTAGCTGCAGGTGCTGGTGTCTCCACCTCGGTCTTCTTGACTGGCGTCTTGTCAACGCTGCTGAGAGTTTTCTCCTTGACGGGAGACGCCGCAGATGATTTGGTCGGAGAAGCTGCAGGTGCCGAGAAACTGCAGCAACAGAAGGGAATTAGAGGCGGTTTTAGAGACAAGGACTGTGCGCAGGCAGAAGTAAGAGCGCGACGTACGTGGGGACCCACTCGCCCGCGTTCGGGTTGAGCTTAGACATGCTGCGGAGGGTGGAGCTGCTATGCTGGCGGTGGTGGTCTGCTATTTGCTTGATACAAATGTCAAGTCAATTAGATGGAGCAATACGATTGGTGGATATTACATAACCTGGTTATTCTGAAGTTGGTTATTGACAGATCTAATTCGATTTTTGGTTTATTCAGACTCTGGGTTTCAGACGAAATGAAGGAGATTCTTTGAGCAGAAGCAGCAGGAGAATATCGGGAGTATTGAGAATCTATGCCCAAATTTGTTAGTGTCAATGTTTCTCGCAATAAAAAAATATTGGCCGTCGCTGATACCGTCGAGAGACGTCGCATTTGCAAATGCAATGTAGTTTAAACGAGCTAAATAAGGGTTAGCATTGAGAAAGAATGCTGTGATCATAAAGCTCTCCCTACGGGATTATTCATTGCGTATCATACATTAAAACTGTGTATTGACGCGTTAACTGTCCAAAAGATTGTGGTTCGAAATGCTATCGGAACAATCGTGCTTGCATGGATGGTCTGCGGCTGCTTCTCTATCGGAAATGTCTTCAATTGGGAAGCTTCCACGCACGAGTCCTGTTCTGAGCTGATTATAGCGAATACAAGCTAGTTTGCACTGTGGTGTTGTACGCTGCTTTGGGTTGGATATGTTCCAGCATCAATATAAGACGGGCAGCAGGTTCATAATGGGTATGCTATTCTCTCACTATAACATTAACGACCTCCCCACAGTAGATTTAAAGGAAGTAAAGCCACAGTATTGTTCCAGCTCCATCGGTCACGCGCCTGGATATCGGATTCCTGGTCGGTAGTCTGTTCGGAGACGCAAGCATTGCCGATAATTGGCGGATATGGGCATCTCGTGAGTCAGCAAAAACTGAAGGCGGAGGCGCGACGATAGTGTGGTTTATGGTTGGCAATACGTTGCTAAGACTGGCGATCCAGGAGATTGTCAAATACTACGTGTTGAAGTCACGAGTCCGTAACGTCCGTACAACGTGCGTCATTGTGGGTTTACCTACAGAGCTGATCAATACGCAGACTCGGATTTGCTTATTGGTCAGCTAACAGTGGAACAGTGGCTTTATCGTGGTCAGTACAAATGCAAAGAGCAAAATCTGTATTGCGGACTGCTTCACTTCATCGACAGCTAATATTTTTGATTTCCCAACCTTTCGATATTAATTTTCAGCAGCTATCCAGTGATACTCAACGTGAATCTCATCCAGAATTTCGTGCGTTGGCGTCAAAAATGCCACGAATATCACACAGCCGAACTGCATGCTGATATGTATGCCAAGTACATCGCCGTCAGCTGCTTGGATGCTGTGTTATTCTTTCTTAGCGATAATGTACACTATTTCCGCCTTGGATTGCTGCACAAAAGCGGATCTGCTGTCAATAGTGGGCGAGTTATCCTGGCGTAATGGTCAATTCGGCGTCCTCGCTTCCCTGGTCACGATTGAAGTGGTTGTAGATTACGTGCCCGTTCTACTTGATGGCAGTTGGCGTTCCGCTCGGTTCATTCTTTGGTGCAGTATTAGCAGTTCCTGAGCATCGTGATGACTGCCATGGTATACTAAGATTAAATGAAATACCTCCTCTGTTATTTATTACCCCAGCTATCCGCTCATTTGCTCGAACACCACAGCGTGACATCATACAGTAGATCGATAATCAAAGCTGCCCTGCAACGTGAGACAGCCTATAATCCGCAGCCAGCGTAAGCTTCGTGTAGCTACCAACACGTAAACCTAGATACCATGGGGCTCACATCAAATCAATTCTCACCTTGATTCGACGAAAACGTGCAATTGCGATGGTGGAATTTGAACCACCGAATTTTGCAAAAGTGGAGCAGACTCGGTTGCGGCGAGCACACATAATTAGGGCCGAGTCCGAAGATGCGCTGCATTCGCTATTATACCTGTACGAGAGTGCTCCAAGTTTGCCAACCCCTGAGCAGTCGCAATAGCATTAAGATAACGCTGCTGCTAGGGAATTCCACAGCACCGACAAGGAATACAGACTTGGGTTTGACTGCATGTAGTCACTTTTTAGTTTTTAATTATACCAGTATTCGTACAGACGATTACGATACGGAAGTCTCGCCAGCTGATCTTCGATCCACTCTGAGCGTCGGCAATCGTTGCCTTCATGCCTTCATGATTATCGATTGAATTATGAGGCCGATTTGCCACAATCAGCCATTCGTTCGCGCTTGGCCACTTCAATTCTCATTTCCAAACTTCCGCACTGAGTAACACACAACAAAAATTCGACCACGTCTCAATGGCCGAAACCAAGTCCGGCGACACGGAGCACGGAACAACCAAGCGTGTTGGTCTGGACTCTGGAAAAGCTCTGCTAGCCCATGGACCCTCGGTAATGCACGAGTTCGTGGCTTCCCGACTCGAAGCTTCTTTGGGAGGTGAGCTCCCGCAAATGGAGGTTCGCTTTACCGACTTGTCGGTGTCAGCAGATATCACGGTTGTCGAGGACGACGGCAACTCCAGCGACCTCCCAACACTCTGGAACACCGTCAGGAAGTCCGTATCGGGTATCGGGCGTAAGAAGCAAGTGGTGCACAAGGAGATCCTGAAAAATGTGACTGGCGCCTTCCGACCGGGTACGATGACGCTTGTACTAGGACAGCCTGGTTCAGGCAAATCTTCACTCATGAAGGTGCTCAGTGGTCGATTCCCCACGGCCAAGAACGTTACCGTCTCGGGTGACATAACGTACAATGGATTGAGCCAAGCAGAGATCAAGAGTCAACTGCCACAGTTCTTGTCGTACGTTCCTCAACACGACAAACACTTTGCCACTCTTACAGTTCGTGAGACTCTCGAGTACGCCCACGAGTTCTGCGGTGGCGAGCTAAAGCGACGTGCTGGAGAGTTGTTAACTCAAGGCCAACCGGACGAGAACGCCGAGGCACAAGCTGTTGCCAAGGCCGTGTTCGACCACTACCCCGAGGTTGTAGTGAACCAACTGGGTCTTGTTAACTGTCAAGACACCATCGTCGGTGACGCTCTTCTACGTGGTGTATCGGGTGGGGAACGTAAGCGTGTGACGACTGGCGAGATGGAATTTGGCATGAAGTACATGACGCTCATGGATGAGATCAGTACGGGTCTGGACAGTGCTGCAACTTTTGACATTATCAACACACAGCGCAGTATCGCTCACCGTTACCACAAGACTGTGGTGATCGCTCTGCTGCAACCTGCACCGGAGGTGGTGGCTCTATTCGATGATCTCATGATTTTAAACGCCGGAGAGATCATGTATCACGGTCCAATGAGCGAAGTGGTACCTTACTTTGCTGGTTTAGGCTTCGAGTGTCCTCCAGGACGTGACGTAGCTGACTACCTCATGGATCTAGGGACAAAGCAACAGGCTCAGTACGAAGTGGAGCTCCCAGTGACAAACTACGCACATCCTCGTGAGCCCAGTGAGTTCGCTCGTGCCTTCCGAGAGTCACACATTTACCAGAATAATTTACAGAATCTGGCCAAACCGACGAGTGATAAACTCAAACAGGTAGCTGAGAAACACATGAAGCCCATGCCTGCGTTCCACCAGTCGTTCCAGGCCAGCGCGTTGACGCTGCTTCGTCGTCAGATGTTCATTATTGGACGCAACAAGCCGTACATTTTCGGTCGTGCACTCATGATCACAGTCATGGGGTTGTTATATGCAACAACGTTCTACCAGTTCGACCCAAAGGAGATCCAGGTGGTCATGGGTATCATCTTTGCCGGTACATTGTTCCTGTCGCTGGGTCAGGCTTCGCAGCTCCCCACGTTCATCGCAGCACGTGAGATCTTCTACAAGCAGCGAGGCGCTAATTTCTTCCGAACTGCCAGTTATGTGGTCGCTAATTCCGTGAGTCAGCTTCCTCTGTGCATCACTGAGACCCTTATTTTCGGGACACTGGTGTACTGGATGTGCGGCTTCGTGTCGGAGATTTTGGAATTCTTGCTCTTCTTGATGGTTCTGTTCATGACAAACTTCGGATTGGGGTCGTTCTTCTTCGTATTGACGGCAGCAGCGCCGGATATCAACATTGCGACGCCCATTTCGATGGCTTCGACGCTGATTTTCATCATTTTTGCGGGTTTTATCATCACGGAAAGTCAGATTCCGGGCTATTTCATTTGGCTGTACTGGATCACTCCGGTGTCCTGGACGTTGCGTGCTCTTGCCATTATCGAATACCGTTCTGCAGCACTGGATGTTTGTGTGTACGATGGAATCGACTACTGTACGACCGAAGGCACCACCATGGGGAAATACTATCTGCAGTTGTTTGATATCAAGTCTGAGAAGATCTGGATTTTCTACTGCGTTATCTACATGGCTGTCTTCTACGTGACGTGTATGACACTGGGTTACTTGGCTCTGGAATACAAACGCTACGAGACCCCGGAGAATGTCGGTGTCAGCACTAAAAAGACTGAAGAAGACGACGCTTACCGACTTGCTAGTACCCCCACTAGTAACGCGTCCAAGTCCCTTACAGCTAGCGAAGTGGTTGTGGATGTATCAGCACGGAACTCGACGTTCACTCCAGTGATGGTGGCGTTCAAGAATCTGCGGTATTCGGTGCCTAAGCCGTCAAACCCCAAGGAATCCATTGAGCTTCTTAAGGGTATCAGTGGCTTTGCTCTTCCGGGTAAAATGACTGCTCTTATGGGTGCTTCAGGCGCTGGTAAGACCACATTAATGGACGTGATCGCTCATCGAAAGACTGGTGGAACTATCTCTGGTCAGATCCTCCTGAATGGATACGAAGCCAACGAGTTGGCTATCCGTCGGTGCACGGGTTACTGCGAGCAGATGGACATTCATTCTGAAGCTTCTACGATCCGTGAAGCTCTCACCTTTAGTGCATTCTTACGCCAGGACAGCAGTGTACCCGACAGCGCTAAGTACGACTCGGTGGAGGAGTGCTTGACTCTACTGGACATGCAAGACATCGCCGACCAGATCATCCGAGGCAGCTCCACGGAACAGATGAAGCGATTGACGATTGGTGTGGAGCTGGCGGCACAGCCCAGTGTCTTGTTCCTTGATGAGCCTACTAGTGGACTGGATGCTCGTTCAGCTAAAGTGATCATGGATGGAGTGCGCAAGGTTGCAGACTCGGGACGTACCATTGTGTGTACCATTCACCAGCCTTCGTCGGAAGTTTTCTTCCTGTTTGACAGCCTCCTGCTTCTTAAACGCGGTGGAGAGACGGTATTTTTCGGTGACTTGGGTCACAAGTGCAAGCATTTGGTGAACTACTTTGAGGCTCTTCCTGGAATCTCACCGCTACCGTCCAAGTACAACCCTGCGACGTGGATGCTCGAGTGTATCGGTGCCGGTGTTTCCAACAATTCAGCGGATGCAATGGACTTTGTATCGACGTTTGAGGCTAGCGAACAGAAGCAGAAGCTCGACCGCGCTCTGTCACAGGAAGGCATTGGACTGCCATCCTCTGACATCCCTGAGTTGCTGTTCGCTAAGAAACGAGCTGCGGCTTCCATGACCCAGATGCACTTCCTTGTCAAGCGGTTTCTGGATATGTACTGGCGTTCGCCTACGTATAACCTCACACGAGTGGGCATGTCGGTGTTTTTGGCGCTACTTTTCGGTGTGACGTTCACTCAGGCGGAGTATGAGACGTACCAAGGTTTGAACTCTGGTATGGGTATGCTCTTCATGTCCACACTATTCAACGGTATGATCTCGTTCCAGTGTGTACTGTCCGTGGCTTCTGCTGACCGTCCTGCGTTCTACCGCGAACGTGCGTCGCAGACTTACAACGCTTTCTGGTACTTTGTGGGCTCGACGGTTGTGGAGATTCCCTACGTGTTCGGTGGCACGTTGGTTTACACTGCCATCTTCTTCCCACTGGTACAGTTCACTGGCTTCTACACGTTCGTCATGTACTGGATCAACACGTCGCTGTTGATCCTCATGCTCACGTACATGGGACAAATGTTCGTCTACCTGCTGCCCAGTGAGGAGGTTGCAGGCATCATCGGTATCTTGGTAAATTCGGTTTTCTTCCTGTTCATGGGCTTCAGTCCGCCGGCCAACCTCATTCCGTCCGGGTACAAGTGGCTCTACACCATCACGCCTCAGCGTTTCTCGCTCGCGATTCTTGGAGCGTTGGTGTTCGCGGACTGCCCCGATGAGCCCGTGTACGACGAAGAGACGAAGACCTGGAGTGGTGTTGGCTCTGAACTTGGCTGTCAACCGCTGGAGAATGCACCTGTAGCCACTGGTGCTGTCACCGTCAAACAGTTCACGGAAGACGTGTTCGGCATGAAGCACGACGAGATCTGGACCAACTTTGTCGTGACTATTGCATTCATTGTGGTCTTCCGCCTCATTGCTCTTCTCGGACTGCGATTCGTTAACAGCCAGAAGCGGTAAAGAAAACACTTTCGTTCGGGTAATATGGCGGCATTAATTTAACGTTATTAAGCTTAACGCTGGTAATAATATCCATGAAATACTTGCCCACTGTGACTAGAGTATTGGACTGGTAGTGACAACTTCTACTCAAGATCTCCGCTCTACATACCTCGCCGCCGTGGCAAAGAGCGGTTGTGGTTGTATGTATCCACGCTTCTATGCATTACATAATTCACGCATTAACGCACTATTATCACAGTATTACGTGTGCAAAATTATGCGGCAACCTTTTCACTGACAGAATGTTGTTATGCCCAGGCATTCTGCGAAAACAGGTCGTGACCGTAGTGATCTTGACTGCGGGCACATTTGGGAGCTGCGAATAGTTGCCCACGAATGCTTGTGGCGATTTCTGCACAAAAATACAAGTATATCCTGCGGACATCCACGAAAAGTGTTGGCGCGCTCTTGATCTTGACCAGAAATGCGAATTTGACATTGAGGTGTTGTGTGATCCCCATGAAAACGCTTATATTTTAATAACTTGTTTTGCGGTAAGGTATTGAAATAATTGGTACGGTTATTGATATTTACCGAGCCCTGCATACCAGCTCTCCTCGACCGCGACGATTCCTACTAGCATCAGTTTCAACTACACTTCGGAAGGTGACACGGTCTCGAAGGTGGCCTACGACATGCCCACGGGCTGGATTCCCGTCAGCCACCCTCGATCCCAGCTCAAGACGTGGCTGGCGATTTATGGCGGTATTAAGCCTAAGCCGATCAAGACGGTGAACATTGCCAGCGTCGATTTCGACTTGTACTTCGGATTCGATCTGAACATGGGTTTGTTCGCGTACGTCGCTAAGCAGTTTGTTGTGAGCATCAAGGGCGACTTGAAGCTGTTCTTCAAAGAACTTCCGTTTGACAACAGAATCAACGACGAGTAGTACCTACAGTTCTTGTCGGCCGGTACTCAGGTCTTCAAGGGCACCAACGCTAAATTGACCGTCACGGGCTTCAGCGCGAACGCGATCTGAGCTCTCGGCACGACAACTCGAATCGATCTTTGAATTGATACAGGATGAAGCTTAAAGCGCCCTTTTCGACGTATCACTCACTACCGCTGCTCCAGGATTCAGACAACTAGTCTCAACGTAAAGGAGTAGATGGGATACAAATAAACTACTACCTAGTACACAACAAAGTACTTTACGCGAAGAGGTGATCGCTTTCTTATGCTTTACTCACTGATCGTGCTCGATTTCCACTGGAGATCCGGTGAAATCTGGGCCCTCTCAGACACACGGCGAACGTCTTCCAAGGAGCCTAGCAGACCCAACATCGGGCTCATGAAGTCGGACTTTGTCACCATGGTGGTAACACGTGTGTGATTGGTATCCAACTCAAATCGAGTCGAACTATACACGATGATTCGTTGCTGGAGAAGTTTGGTCCTGAGCGACAAATATACGCTCTCATTGGGAAGAGGTGTGGGAACACATCGCTCAAAGTTTTTCCTGTAATAGTGAGACTGATCGTTGAGGTGGCTTCGAGCGAGTTACTCGAGATCTCTTCACAGCGCTTGAGCTCAAATGCTGGACGACCGAACGAATGCGAAATTCGATTCAAGCTTTGGATCATCGCTTTGAATCCGTAATCACTGTTGAACACTACGCTTGCTGATTTAAGCGCGTCGTCAATGTTCATATGGTCATTGAGGAAAGTGCTCACTGGTTGCGTTGTTGCTTCCGCCGGACTGTACAGGCTATCTCGTAGGAAATTAAAATACAGAGTTGCCGTCGACCAGAGCGATGGAGCTGGTATCAACAACGAAGAGTGACGTTGTTTCAGCGCAGCAACTTCTCGCCGTAGCGCCTGATTCCCTTTGTCAAGGTTGACGACGTAGGCATGCTTTTTCTTCCTATATTGAAGTTGCTTCTTTCGACGGAGCTCTCGGCGGAAGGCTTCAGCCGTGATGGTTTTCTTAACCACGAGCAGGCCGTCATCCTGGAATTCTGCTCCATTCTGGTCGTATATCATCGCACTATCGCCGTTGAAAGCAGGGGCGTGTTCACGAGTTGCTGTTTGTTGCTTCTCCCATCAGCCTGTGTGTTTTGTGTGAATGCTGACGTTCGAGTCCCCCATTCTCCAAAGTTCTCATTATTGAAATGCAGGTTCTCGTTTGAGTACGTCTCACGGTCTCCACTCGTCCGTTTGCCCAGGAAAGAAGGCTAGGCAGGAGATACGTGAGTTCCACAGTTTGCGTTGGAAATTGTGCTGTTCGAGTTCAAGTGATTGCACAAATGTTTGGTTTGCACAAACCCTCCGGTGGCGTCGCCATTAAGTCGGTCGAAATTTGGTGGACGAAGCGTACTAGTCTGCATAACACACTGAAGAGCGTAGGCGGTGATATGGTCTTGGTTGAGTTGTGGCAACTGGGAATCGGAAAATGATCAAAGTTCACGATGTATCAGTGGCGCTCTACACAATCAAGGCAAACGGGCAAAAAAAATGGTGAGTGCAAACGTCAGCAAACGAAACGTAACAAAGAGTCAATTGTTCACGCACCCGGGTAGCCAATTATTTCCCACGCTGTATGTATGGTGATAATGAGCGTCGTTATAGATCTGGTACCGCATGTTTAATCAAACAACAACATGACGTAGACCATACAGAGCTACATGACCACGTCGTCAACAATAAGTGAGCCACCCAAAAAAACAGGAAAAAATAACCAAGGATTTATTGGATTAAGAACAAAAACTATTTGACGCAATATGCAAAGGGATACATGTATAATTGTTGTTTAGCGCTAAATTCGCGGAGTTTTGGATTCAATCTAACGACATTCACGAAACATGCATTTGCCGTTTTGGATGTTGTCTAACGATATTCGTGCAACACTAGACAGGATCAAATCGAGTTCATTCAACATAACTAGAGGATCTCTGAACTAGAGAAGTTTTAAAACGGCGACGTTTTAAGTGATTGTAGAAGTTGTCTGAAGGCACTTCGAGTAAGTATGAAAAAATCATTTTTATCTTTTTATGAATGCAGTATTATAAGATAAAAGGAAGATAACCGATATCTCTGAAGCGAGCTGGTAATGCATCCGAGTAAATTCTACAATAGTGGACCTCCGCATTGATTTTTTTAAACCCTAGCAAACCGTATTTTATATAATCGTTGCCTTTATGCAGGATGGTTGCTACTCAATTCGCTTTCCGATGTTCGGGCGCGTTGTATATACACAACTGTACTGCGCGAGTCGCATAAGGGGGATACTGGCGGCACCTGATGCACTTGCTCCACAGCCGTATCATACAACGCGAACCTCAACTCGTTGGGATTTTTCAAGATTATCGCAAAACTAAAGATTTTCTGTTGGGGAGTTCATGACAACAGGTTCTTCGCCATCGATGCAGTGGGTGAGCTGCGTCAAAATGGCCCATGAGCATGCATTTTCTTACGATGTTGTTTAAATCCCTATTTAACATGTAAATTTGACGTCAAAACAGCTTCAACGAAAGTGTGTGTGGCTTGCCCAAAACGAGTTGTATTGATTGGCAAAAATGCGCTACCCCCCCCCCTCGATGGTGTCGTGCACGGTAAATAAAGAATATATACGCTAAAGTTAGTGGTATACTGAAATGATTTGAGTCTTGTGTTTATTGGACTCGGAATTATAGACTATACTCTGATTTATCCGTCATTGTGCTCAGTTCAGTCGCTGGTAATGACTCTATTCATGGCGGCGATCAGCTATTGTGCTCGTGATTACTCATTGGACTACGATTTATTGTCAACCTAATTCGAACCATCTTTGCAAAATGGTTACACGGAGTCGCATGTCCTTGACGTAATTGTGCGCGTAGATTCCAGAATTGCAGTCTGAATAAGTGGGTTCGCTGGAGCTTTCGAGCTATAAGCTGCCCAGAACGATGCTTAAATCGGCAAACTCGCCCGGCCAGAAATACATGATGCTATAAAATTCAAGATAAACCATCATAAACTATCCACATATCTTTATGCAAAATTAATAGCATATCCATGAAAACCGCACAGGTATCTATCATATACTTCCATTTGTGATGAAAAAGCCAACCCATTGTCCGGCGGAATGTGTAAGTAGACAGACCTTTGAAAGCACTCATATGAGCTTGAAGGAGTGCGAACTAGCCAACTCTGGTTGAATTTACACGCGAGACAACCCCTTTAAATTTGTCACTACAGGTTTTGGTAATCTAGTCCTCTTGTTTCGTGCAATGCATAAGAGCGCACAAAAGTACTTTGTATTTGGTCACTCCAGATTAAGTTTTATTTTACAAATTTGACCACACTGGGCCAAGCAGCCTTTCTCACAACTAATAGTTACAATTTTTGTCCAATAAGGGCCAACGCAAATTTCAACCATAGATAAAATCTCGTGGCAAAATACCAATCTTTATTTGTAAATAAACACTAAGAAATACGAAACCTTTCAGTCTATACCTTTGGATTTGGTGGTGAGTACTCAAAAATGGTTAGTTTTAAAAAGTTCTCGCGTCTAGCAATCACCGTGGCTCAGCAACGGGTAGTACGTATAGCACTGGTCACGCATATGTATGCCTCGAAATACGCAAGCGCCTGCCCGAATGACATGATCACGCAAGCTGCCCTGGGCGACCACGCGCTGGCTGGGCCCTCAGTAGACAAGATACTATAATTTCGTGGGAGTCCGCTTGTCTTCTCTAAGTACTTGTTTCTCGCTATGCTATCTACAGTTTCATGGGGGAGGGGGGCAGCACTCGAAGCATACGGTGATATCTCATCTTGCGTTGGTCAACATGTACTTCGAAGTAGCTCCTAGAGAAATACTTCAAAATATGCAGCTGCCATAGCAGTAGATAACCAGTGCTCCAACTATGTAAATTGAATATGAATTGCTAGCGCGAAGACCTTCACAACGAATAATGTCACAATTACACTATTCATGAAAAAAAAAGCAGTTTCGATCTAAAATTGTGAATCTATATACTGAAGCTAGCTATTCACGACCTGTAAGCACATTCGAGCTCATTGAGTGCGAAATAAAGTTTAGAAGGGAAGCCGGAATCGTTTTTCATGGTTTCCATTGTCCTCAACAACAGAAAGATCTCTTTCCGCACCTCACCACCACCTTTATAATCATATCGCTGACATTGTCTAGACCAAAGTGGGGGAGTTCATGACGCTGTGGCGACGATGAGCCTGGAACCGGACGACCAATTGCCAGTGCCTTTGTCAACCAGCCTGAGAAAGAAGATATAGGAACTAGACTAACAAGCTTGCATCTTAGCGATGTGGATGCGACAAGTCGTTTGACAATTATTTTCTTGGATATAGAGTGGATCTACACGATTGCCGAGGTCACGATTACACTAGTATCAACCTTGACGTCAATAAGAGCTTCACATTCACGGTTGTAAATGACGATGTTGTGTGGTCGGGGGTCTAGTACAACTGCCGCAGCGATGTCGAATTTATAAGGGCGTGAAGGAGAGAAGCTCGCCGTGATATCAGGTGGGATCCTGGTACGAGCCTTTTGACTTATACAATGTAAACCTATTCATATTAACGCCGCGCGTCTGCTTAGTAATATAGACGTTTGATGGTAATATTACCGAGGAGCCTCGACAAACACGACAATGGACTACGGACGGTTTAATAGCGCTGTAGCTAATTGTGCGAGCGTTTACAGTTTACTGTTGTGCTGTGAAATAGCACTTTTTTTTTAAAGCTATACATTCAAGTGACGTTCCAAGCAACTTAATCTTCGATTCTTCTCCACTGCTCAGTTGTCAAAGGAAGCATTTAAGCTTAAACGAGCGCAGGAATATTGAAGACCATTCTGTTCGTGCCCCAAAATTGAGACCAGCTTAACAACGAGGTCATATTACGGAACCCGTCATTGATGATGAACATGAGAGCGATAGATACGAGTAGTGAACAGTATATTGGTCCACCTTTCATCTAGAACAATACTGGCCACTTTCCGGTGGAGAATGTGGAGGTCTTGACAATCAATACTGTTTCATACAACAGCCACAATCTTACAAAATCATTTTTTTCTTCCGAGCCCTTTGGTGTTACACGATACTCACAAGCACGTCGCAATTACAAACAGCCAATAAAATCTTGAATTTTATGAACTTATTCGGGCGATTTGAAAAGCGTAGCCTGCGAAGCGGCAACTATGCTTTTTGTATGAATGAATTAGAGTGTTAGCTCTACACGACCCGCTTAACTGGCCAATCGGTTCTAGGAGTTGCGCAGAAAAGTTAGATCACATTCACGCTGTAGCCCGTGACAGTCAGCTTTGCGTTGGTGCCCTTGAATGCTTGCGTGCCAGCCTGCAGCACCTGCAAGTACTGGGACCCGTCGATCGTGTTGCTAGAAGGAAGCTCGTTGAAGAACAGCTTGAGGTCGCCCTTGAAGCTCGTAACAGACTGCTTAGCGACGTATGAGAACACGTTGATGTTCTGGTTGTATCCGGAGTACAACTCAAAGTCGACGCCGGCAACGTTCACCGTCTTGATCGGCTGACCAGAAGTCGACTTAGGCTTAGCTCCTCCGTAAGTCGCCAGCCACACCATGAGCTCGAAGTTAGGGTGTCCAGCAGGCGTCCAGCTCGTGAACATGTCGTAGGCCACGTTCGAGACCATGTCACCATCGGACGTGTAGTTGAAGTCGAAGCTCGTAGGGATCGTCGCGATCGAGGAGATCTGGTACGGCTGGAGGTTTCGTTCAGCAGCAGCAAACGACTTGTACATCGGATCGTTATCGCCAGTGATGTTGTAGCTCGTGTGCCAGGCAATGGTCGTGGTTTCGCTCCAGTCCACACCCGTGCATTGCTTGCCGGCAACCGTCCAGTGGTTGTTTACGACTTTGTACGCCCCTACTTCAACTTTGCCGTTCTGTGTGTCAGTACTGCCACAG